AGGTGAAGGGTGGAAAGGCATTATATAGGTATTGCAGGGGATGACATGTTCAATTACACAATCTCATGCCGAATCCTGTCATCCAGCTGCAAGCGTGACAGAGTGCAGCTGCAGTCTGAGGTCCCCTTGCTTTTCCAGTAAAAATGCGGCGAGGATGCCGTCTCGGCACTGGCACATGCATCCGAAGCCGTAGCCAGGCTCTTTTGAAATTTGCTTTCTGCTCAGTGCATTCGGCTGTGCTGTTGTGATGTGCTGTGTGTGCTGTGATGATGTGCTGTGTGCTGTGATGGAGTGCTGCTGTGATGTTCTGACCCCGAGCCCGGTGAGAAACTAGCCCCGCCGCGGCCGTGGACCAGGTGCAGCTTTAGCAGTACTTCCAGCCAACCCAGAGCCAGCACCAGCCGAAGACCCAGCTGCCGGAGGTCCAGACGAAGCAGCAGCATCAGCATTGTCCATAGGCCGTTCTGGGCGTTGACAAGATTGAAAAAGCTGGCTTCTCCATCAGCCCAACCGAAAACTAAAGGGAAAAAACTAAACCCTAAAAGGCCTAAGTAACCAAACTTCCCAAACACACCAAAACCTGCCACGCAGCCAGCTGGGGGACGAACCCACGAAAGGAACGGATTCTCGTCCCCGTGGCGGTTGTGCTCCACGAACATCTTGTGGTAATACACGCACAACTCGTAGCCACGCTTGGCCAGATTGCTCGCCCCCTGACATGCGTTGCATACCAAGCGACCCCATACCCTGAAGTAAAACAACCCTCGAAAGAACTTTTAACTGAATCTGCTAAGTCACGTGGACCTCGGCGATGAGACCAGACATAATGCCGCGAGCGTCCTTCTGAGTCTTCGCCGAATACCACACGCTCGGAGAGCTTGGAAAGTGAGGGAAGGGGAACGGCGCCTTCTTCCGCACCCAGTGAGGCGCATTCTCAGTATACCATTTGCAAGCGGTCTGCAATTCGATCAACGTGTTGTGCAAGGCCTGGGCTGGTGGATTTCCGTTAAGCAGTAGTAAGTTATCTAAGACCCAAGCCCCACACAAATTCAAAGTATATATAAGAGATGCCGAGAGACATTGAGGTCACTGATGAGATCACGCTGCAGCTCCAGATGCGAATGGCTAGCAGTCTCGTAGTTCGAAGGCAGCACCCGCTTGGCCTGGGGGTTTATGCTTGAGAGACTTTCGGTGTGCAATCGTGCACCCGTAGAAAAATGAATGCTAATTTAATGCAAGTGGCTTCGATCGCCTCAGCTTTGCGCTTCTGTCTCGCACGCTCCTTGGGGTTGGCCTTGTTCTTCTTTTTCTTGGCCTTGCCCTTGGCAGCGCTGCCATCCTGAAGGGTTGAGGGTTTAGAGTTCAGGGTCGGGTTTAGGGTCCAGAGTCCAGAGTTTATTTGTTAAGTAAAACCCCGGACGTTATAATGATGCCGACTTCAGGTTCAGAAGAGGAACACCCCCCATCGAAGAAGACGCCCCAGCAGACCCAGCCGCCGGCGCCGTAGCCGGCGCATCCTCCTCCGGCTCCGGATACAGCGATGCCTCGTTTTGATTTGCTCAATGAGGACAACACAGATTGAGCCGACTACATATCCCCAAATCTGCCAATTCCACCAAGCATCATGAAGAGCCCGCCGGAGCTCTTCATCTTCGATGCCAGCATCTTCAGCATCGCCAGCAGCGCTTGCGTCCTCCTGCAAGGGGGGGGGTATTACTAGACAATGACTGAAATGATAAGCCCAAGCCACTCCTCCTCCGCCGACTCTGGGAAGATCTCAGTTGGCTCCAGGCTCCCAGCTGGTGACGTCGGCTCCAAATCGCCCATGGCAGCGAAGGTGAACAATCCGACACTTTGGGTCTTCTGTCTGATGAAAGGAGCAACTGTGGCCCTGTTCCTGGGCTCTGAAAGTTGATACTGTGACTGTGCAGTATGATCTCAAGAGTCTA